GAGAGAGAGAGAGAGAGAGAGAGGGGGGAAATGCCAGGTATGTCGCCCCCGGGCCGATTACAATACCTTTGACAAAATGAAGCACGACGGGGTCTGGAAACGCAATCTCGAGCTTAATCTCCGCCTCACGAGTCTGACCTTCCCATCATTTCAGCGCGCGGGTCGATCGCGAGAACGACCGCGTTAGCACACGTGGCCTGCATCCGTTTTCCGCCGGATCTTCCCCGGAACGAGCGAGCGTTCCAATTCCGATCCTCCTCGCGCTTAGCACGCGCCGAGTTCTAATAACGAGATAATCCCACCGCAATCCCGACCGCGACATTCGTCCTTGGACATCGGTATCAGAACGAAAATAACGGGCGGGGATGGATGCGCCTGCCGCGGCAAGAGCCTGACTGCTTATTCCGCGCAACTCTAACCGCGCGGCACACACCCCCCCCCTCCCCCCTGTCTCATCCCGAACGGAAACTTTCTCAACACGCTTCATCACCGCTCGCCGAGCCTCGGTCGAGTTTCATAACTAGCTAATCCGACCCGTAATAGAGAGATCAGGGAGAGCTGTACCTAAAGCGCGACCGTGTATATATATATATATATATGTATACATGTGTATATATGTATATATATATATATATATGTATCGTCACGCTGCGAGTCTACCGTCGGCGAAATTAGAGCGGGGAGGATGTCGTTTTGGTAACTCTTATTCTGGCGTCATCCGTCAGTAAAGCACAGGGATCAGTTACGTGTCGGGAGTGTAAGCGCACGCGGTCGGAATATATCCTCCTCGACGCGCACGTAACTCAAAACGCCAGTTTCGTCAACGCGACCCCGACCCTCCGATGAGTTATGACGCCTGAAAGTTATCAGCAAAAGTTATCGGCGAGCCCTCGGCCGCCCTTCGCTTCTGCCCGCCTAAACTTCTCTTATCGGATGGTGCCACCTATTTCGGAAGGTGGCGGAAGATTTCTCGGTAACGAGGAGCTTAAGAATGGAACTCGGATCGTCGAGTTAGAGAGACGCAATGTCGGTTCGTCGTTGTTGTCATCATCATCGTCGTCGGCGTCGTCGTCGTCGTCGTCGCCGTCGTCGAAGCGACGCACTGCGTTGTTTCCCCCTCGCAGCTTTCCCTGAAATACCCCGCCTTCGCCATCTCCCACGGGAGAGAGGAGAACGACGACGGAGATCTTCGTCCAATTATTTTTCCCTCGCTTCGAAACATTTCAACGCCACTTCAACGAACAAACTCGTTCTATTCTCGTTGCCGCGCAACCCTCCGCTGGAACAGCATCGCGTCACTTCTTCCCCGTTTCTCCCTCGTCCCCTCCTGTGTCGGTGGAGTTTTGCGGGCCCCGTCCCGCTCCCCCGTCCCCGCGCTCCCGATCCCAACCGGGGCCGCCCCTTAACGCGGACCGCAAGTTTCCACATTATTTCAATTGCGCGCGAACGGCAATAATTCACCCGCGCGCTAAGAAGATTATAAAATGTTTATGAATAATGGAACGCAGTATTATTTCTCGGAGAGCGTGGACCCTCTTCTGTATAAACCGCGGAAACGCGTGGGAGGGCACGCTCGTCGGGATAGCGCCGCTACGGGAGGTCTCCTCCTCCTCCTCCTCCAAACGACCGTGTATCCACGTGTACTCTTGTGTGCGCCACGATTGCGCAACCGTGTGCCGTAAACGCGATACGATTATTCAAACCGGGGAAACAATTCCGTGCATTAAGTCGTAATAACATTGCGCGCCGGTATTCCCGATCCTCTTTTGTCGCCGGGACTCGCGGAACACGGTATTTGGTGGTGCTCGCAGCTCTCTCCGGCCGCGCTAACTATCGGGGTGGCATTATGTAACATTTAACCCCCCGGGCACGGCAGAAGTACAATAGATCATGAGTTCGCGAGTTACTGCGCGAACAATGCAATTACGAGAAACATTATATCGTACGCTTTGGGATCTTACCTTAAGGGTCGTGGAGCCGGGGAGAGGAGAGGAGGAGTGCGCCGGATGTTAATTTACTCGGTTTTAACACCAAAGTACTAACGTATCGTCTATCGCGTTATTATAAACTAAAGGTGTCTGATGTGTCGCTGCGAACATATTCGGTGGCAAGTCCGTAAGTTTCTCTCGCGTTAAATGACTCGCGCGATAAATAACTTTCGATTGGAAAGACGCCTGAAAACAGTCCAAGTTTTTGCTGTTGGAGCAATTTGTTAAAAGTTCTACATCAATATGATTTTGTGGATGATAATAAATGCCATAATTGGAATTGCAGTGTTTTATCACCGCGATTTATCGTTGTAGCATTAATCAACGACGTTTAAATCGCCGCTTCGGTCTGCCGGTCAAAACATCACCGGCGCGGCGGCATTCGCGAATCATTTCCGATGATTTTCGATGGAGTTTCGTTTTTGACTGCGCGACGTAAAGAGATTGCGATGGTCGCGTTAACGATATTGCTGACGGGAAATATGACGAATCAATAATTTCCTCAACCTAGCATTTTATGACGGGGCATTAAACGAGCGATGGTTATCGGCGATTAATCGTTCGGCTGTCACTTGCACCGGCGCGCGTCCGCACTCGGTATGTATCGTGCCTTAATACGCGCCAACAATTTGCGTCCTTTATCTTCGGCACGCACACGGAGCGCGCCACCATTATTGTAGGCACGGCATATTGCCGTCGCCGGATTAT